GGTGCACAGGCGCCCAAGGCCTCTCCTCTGTGCTCTCTGACACGCCATTGTTTCTTCTTCATGGTGTGGACACATGGACACCCTGTGATTGCTGGGACACGCTTTCCTTTTAGGACTCGGCCCCTTCCCTGCCACACTTATCAACCTGTTGCTTCTTTTAAATGCTGCAGAATGTCCCGCTGAATGGAGGCACCACGGCTCATTCGACTTTGACCTCTGGAGGAACATTTAGAGTCTTCCCACTCTGTTCCTGCTGCCGAACAGTGCTGTACCCTAGCATAAATGTCTCACTGTGCTTGTGAATGTGTTTCTTTAGGACAAGTGTCTTGCAGTGGACACAATATGGAAAGGGAAAGTGGACACTACCTCACTGTGGATAGACCTTGAAGACCCCAGCCTTGCTCTTCTGGCAAGTGGTCACCACCAGATGAAGGCTGGGGATCATCCTGTGAAATCAGAGCATGGGGCTGGTGACCAGTGAGACCCCCAGTATGCTGGGCCAGCTCATCCTCCCAGTCCACAAGGCTTCGTGGGTGTGTCACTGGAGAGGGGTAGCTATGACCCTCACTTTACAGATGAGAAAACTGAAGGTCAGGGATGGTAAGTAATTTGCCCCAAATCATGCAACTGATATGTGGGAAAATGCGGATTTGGCTCCAGTCCTGCCAACTTCTGAGCCTGGGTCTGTCACCTCCAACTCTGCCTGCCCTCGCTGGTGTGCCTAGAGTCAGGTGGCTTGCCACAGTTCCCTCTACTCCCAAAAACTCTGTTAAGGTCATTCCCATAAGATCAATTGGAAATCAAAGGAATTGGTTGGATGTGAGGTTCTCTTCATCTGGTTTGAATTACATGAAATCAGGATTCTGTTGATATTTTTCCCACTGTACTAGAAGACAGTGATTATTTTCCTTTTTTTCATTTATTTTCTTTCTCCATCAACTTCAGCTACTAAATCCCCCTCAGCAGAACCTTCCTGATCGTCCTGAAATTGCACAGGATGAGGAGGATTTGCTGCTTCCTCAGCAAGTGGCTCCGCCGGGGCGGGTCAGGCGGCCCTGAGGCAAGAGGCTTCCCAGTCTGCTTTTCGATTGTCTTGTCCCTAATGTTTGGTTCGGCAGGAAACAGGGATGGCTCCTTTCTGGGACACCCTCATTGACAGGCCCCCCAGAAACTCTTTCGCTGATGGATGCCCCTGAAGCCAGTGACAGCCTGGTCTTCTACCACACATTCTGACGGTTATACACAGTGGGAACAAGACTGCAGGCCCATCCTGGCTCCACCTCCCTCCCTGCCCTCCCTGGGGCTTCCTTCAAAATCTTATCAGAGTTTCTGGGCTGCTGAGAGGCAGTGGTGAGCAGCCCCTCACAGGAACAACTGACAGACACACTCCACCTTTCCCATGCCATGCAGAAAGGGTGCCCTTCCAAATCCCACTTCAACAAGGACACACTGCAATCATCAGTGTCATCCTGAGGCACTTCTAGGAGGCAATGGGAGACTTCGTGAGTCCAGTTGGGGGTGGGGAGGAGGGTCCTGCATGCAGAGAGTGTGGCTGCACTGCCTAGTCACTCCTTGCTCAAGGAGGTACCGTGAAAAAAACCAAAGCCCTAGGATGTGACACATAAAAGGCCTAGTTACCCTCCCCCCCACTGAGACATGACCTCCTCCGCTGTCAGCAAACTGAGGCATCCCACAGGTTGCCCTGCACAAACCCACGGGAGACATTTACCCTGCCGCTGGGAGCATAAGCAACTGGGACCTCCCAGGGCAGTGGCAAATCTGAGCTATTATAGGTAAGGGAGACACTGGCCACATGGATGGATCATAATAGGACTTAAGGGAAACAACTGAGGAGGAGAACAAGATAAAGAAGAAGGCCAAAGGTGTGAATTGTAAATACATGCGAAAGTTCATCTGTGGTGATGGAAGTAGGAGTGATTACTTCAGGTGGGAGAGGGTAGTATACTGAGAGCACCCATGTTGCAGCTGCTGGGAACATCTGAGTCTTGACCAAATGGAGGCTGTGAGTACAGACATGTGAGGTCCATCAAGACACACATCCAAAGCGTGGTGTGTGTGTGTGTGTGTGTGTGTGTGTGTGTGTGTGTAGGCATACAAAGCAGTCATACAACAAATGGCTAATGCGGTTATTTGCATGGTGATCACCCCAGCCAATGGCTCCACCCCGTTAGGAGTAAAAGCAATGGCATTCATAGAACATCCCCAAAGCTGATCCTGTGTGGCTGCATTCTCCAAAGCCAGTTTGGAAAAGTTTGAGTGGGAGTGCAGAAAAAAAAAAAAAAGAATGTGAAATAATGATAAGGATGTCCCACCAGGTGTTTCTGCTCAAATCTGGAGTGTTTGTCCCTGATTTGGGACACGGTGGTAATTAATGAAGTAAGAGACCCACACTTTCTTACCAATTCCAGTCAGGAAGAAACGCCATTCCACACAGTTGTCAAACTTGAAGCCAAGGAGCCAACAGCAAGGCCTCGTCAATCACAAGCATTATGCAAATGCAAGGATGGCATTATCACCATCCTGGGTGCGAAGGTCTCCGGTGATATTGATGATTTTTTTCTATAACAGATCTGGGCTGAATTAATAATTCACTATGTTAATAAAACAACGAAATTCAGTTGCTTGTGTCTCAAAAACAATCTCATTTCTTCCCATGATTTGAATGGAGCTTTTTCCCCTTTCCTAATTTCTTTTAACTAGCATTCCCCTTTTTCTAATCTAATGGACTTCTATTCTCCCTTGTTGTGGG